AGTATTAACAGATAATATCTTGGCTGTTTTATGAATACTTATATTTTACAAACATGAAAGCCTGTTTGCAATTTATTTTTTTCCACTTTATTTTCCTAAGTAGAGATTTCTGTATTGAAAAGTATAAGACTACAAAGATCAGAGAAACATATCAAGGGAGAAGGATGTCTGAATGAAGTGTGGGAAGAGATTCAGTAAATATTTTCTCCAGACATTAAAGAGATGATGTGCTAGACAGTTCTTGGACCATGACTAGAGCTTTGATGTATTGTTTTTGGTTTGATTGATACACCAAGAAATGGTTGCCCTTCACAGTCAGAAGTGAAATAGGATGTGAAAAGCAAATAAAGTCTGAAAGAACAGCTTGTGCTGTAGTATTTAATATTCTTTCTCTGTCAGCACTCCCCCTCCAGCTTATTTTATAAAGGCCTAAGGTATGGTGAAGCATCAGGAAGAAGGGATAATGGGGCATCTGAGCATGGGAAAAGAGAAAAGAAAGATGAGATCTGAAATGGGGGTTGGGCTCAGAGTTAGAAAAAAAAGTATACTTTTTCAGTTAACTACTTGGGGAAAGCAGTATAATCTGTGGGGCTATAAAAAGAAGAAGAAGAAGAAGAAAAGTAGAACTGGAATCTAGGGATCTGGATCCAAATTGTACACACCATGGGCTTCTCTAGTATCAGCTCTGTGCTCTCAGTTCATGGCCAGGAGTCACGACTTACTCACCGTGGAGGAGCTGCAGCTTTGAGGATGTAGAGCAGTGACTGTCTCCTGATACTGGATATCCCTCAACTCTGATCACTCCATTCTTCCCATTCCCTTCTAGGGTGGGGGGGCCATTTCTGTGGTGAGGTTAGCTGTTCTAGGATAACTAGAAACTGCTAATTATTTATAAACTATCAATAAAACCTAATAAAGAATTCCTTTGAGCAGAGCTTTTGGAAAACCAGATTCTAATGCCAACCTCATAACTAATGGTATACATGCAATATTGGATAACAGCCTATGTGAGTCTCAAATGCTCCTTTTCATAAATAAATCAGTCTCTACTGATGTCCTGCTGTTAAGATTAAATGAGATCAAGTATATACAACACTTTGAGAGGAATAGGCACAAGATTTGTATCTGCGCTGTAGAATTTATTTTATGCTTAAACATGGAAAGAGCCTCAGCTAAGGTATCTGTGTGTAAATTCTGAAGCATATCCCATGAGAAAAGTAAATCTTAAGGCTTTGCACCTGTGTTTATTTGTGGGAGGTGTGGGGGAGGGGTGAGAAGTGCAGGAAATGGGAAAGGGTCCGAGTGAATCGAAGAAGACCAAGGATTCTTCTTATGTGAGGATCTTAAACATTACCTCAGATTGTACTTCTGTATTCTACATTAAAATAAAATGGATCTTTAAGAGACTCTTTCTACCTTATGACATAATTATTTATGTCAATGTCTCCTCTGCCATATTTACTTACAAAGTCCTTGAGGACAGAAGCCGTGCTGTGTTTTATATTTTCTACCTGTGTAAGACTCGGTATAGAGCTTTCACACATAGATAGTCAAAAAACATCTCGTAAGTGAATACTATCTGTTGATTTTCCAGCTGTTATCTGGAGATAAAGTTCTGTTCACATGTTATTAATGCTAGCTCTGGCAGCAGCTAATAAAAGAAACCAGATAGGTGGTTCAGAGGGGACATGGATTCCATTTCCAAAGAAGTCCATTGAAGGCAAACATTTTAACTGCCTAAAAATTCATCATTCAGATCTGGCCATCAACCAAGTTTCTGAGAATTTTTTTTTTAATCATTCACAAAGTGTATGTTCATCAAATACACAAATCCTGGGTTTCATCATCTGCAGGACACACAATGCCAGTTTTTAAAAGTGTTTTTGAAATACAGTCTGAGATGTAATTATAGATGTAGAATTGTATCTCCCAGTTCAAAGAGAACTGTTGAAAGAAAAGCAGCTGCTTTGTTTGTCTAGACTGTCAGTGTCATTATTTTTATGGGATGCTTTTGAGAAACACTAATTTGTGAAAGAAAAGCATCCCAGAAGGCAAATTTGGCAGTTTAAATTCCCAGGCCCAAATTGTTCCAAGGATCATAATTAATTGAAAGATAATGAAAGGCTGAATATAGCTTTGTTTCACTTCTTCCAGAGTCAGGGAAGTCATTCTGAATTAAATTTTCAAATTCTGAAAGAAGAAAGTATACTATGCTTTAGACAGAAAAACACAGGGTGATTGAGTGATTATGAAATGCTACTGGGCATCCCAATAGCATTCTAGGGTAGTTTCAGCTGGTTCTAGACTCTTAGAATAAGCAAAATCTCTTCCCACACTGATAAACACATACTTGTATATGGCATTCCATTTTTTAGGCAGACTTAAATAGTATGTTAGTTTATTATTGTCTGGAAAGTGATGCCAATGAAAAATTGCCAATTTGGTCCTTGTAAAGAAATCAAAACCTAATCTTATCTGAAAGTCAATCATTTTTGGTAGGTTTAATAGCTAAACCAATCTGTGGGCAAACCTTAAAAATGGAATCTGTCATTTACATTGTGGAGGAGTTACAAGAACAAAAATGTAGTTGCAGTTAAAATCGAGGAAGAACTTCAGGACCTACATTCCTTTATAGTACCATGTTAACTAATTTTTCAGGGGGTTTTTTTGGCGGGGGAGAGTGGGTATTTTAGCTTTTACTCTTCTTTTATTGATCCCTGACTGTCAACCTATTGATGCCAGTAAAAAAAAGATGTGGTACTTTCTTTGGGGACATTTAACTTCAGAGAGAAATTGAAGCTGAATTATTTTATGTGGATCAAGATGGAGGTAGGGAGAAAGTTAATAGTAAAAATATTGTCAGTTGAAAACAAGCAGGGGAAACAAGTTTGAGCTGGAGGACTATCCCTGAGTAGAAAACTATTCCCAATGGCAGAAGGTGAAGAGGTCCACATGGCTACCACCTGACAGATTAGAGGGTGGGCACTGTGTGGGGGAATGTCTTGGTCTCACTCACAGAGCTTCTGTGTGAGAGGATTTTATAACTCCGAGTACATTTTCCTGAAGGGAAGTACCATTGATACTTAATAGTACCTGGCAAAAAGGAGGTGCTGAGAAATTATTAGTTCAGTGAGTGAGTAAGTAAACGAATAGAGACCATTTTTTTAATCCCCCATGGAAGTTGAGTTCTCTTCTATCAGAACAAGTTGATATAGTCAATCCAGGTGTAGAATGTAATTTACATATATTTATTGACTTTCTGCATGCTATCTCATGTAGTCTGGGAATTTATCCAGTATAGATAACATTGCAAAGGGAAACTATTTTGAGTCTTAAATAACTGATTTAAAAACAGGATTTTACAAATATTTATAATTGTTATAACTGTCATTTGAATACTAAGTCTCATATACTTTGTACATGTATCATCTCTTTTTATGCTCACAAAGAACCAATGAGGTCAGTGTTAGCATCTCCATTTTGCACAAGTTATTGATTTTTAGTTTAATTCTGTTAAAGTCTGAAAAATACTTTAAATTATTTCAATTCATTTAAATGTCTAATATATTAAGGTTTGTTGTATGACCTAGAAGATGGTCTAGCTCAGTGAATGTTCTATATGAACTTGAAAAGAATGTGTTTCCTACAGTTTTTGTGTGGAGTGTTCTATAAATATTAATTAGGTTAAGTTGGTCAATAATGTTCAGGTCTTTTATATCCTTACTGATTTTCTATTTGTCCTATCAATTACTGAGAGGAGTGTTGAAGCCTCCAACCACAATTGTGAATTTCTCTTGTATTTTATTTCTATCAATTTTTGCTTTATGTATTTTGAAGCTCTGTTGTTAGAGGCATATACAGGTAGGATTATAATGTTTTCTTGGAGAATTGACTTCTTTACCATTAAATAATGCCCCTCTTTAACCCTGGAAATATTTGCTAAAGTCTACTTTACCCATTATTAATTTAGCTACTTCAACCTTTTCTGATTAGTGTTTTCATGGTATACCTTTTTCCATCTCTTTATTTTTAACTTATCTAAGTCCTATATTTAAAATTGGTCTACCTGTATACAGTATATAGTTTGGTCTCACTTTCTTATCCAGTTTGACAATCTATGTCTTTTGTTTTTTGAGGAAGATTAGCCCTGAGCTAACTACTTCCAGTCCTGCTCTTTTTGCTCTTTTGTTTTTTGCTGGGGAAGCACCTGGGATCCGAACCGGCGAACCCCGGGCTGCAGAGAAGCAGAACGTGCGAACTTAACCGCTGCACCACTGGGCAGGTCCCAACAATCTATGTCTTTTAATCAGCATGTTTATACTATTTACACTTAGAATAATTATTTTATGGTTAGATCAAACTCGATCATCTTACTATCTGTTTTATAATGTTCTTTCTATTCTTTCTTTTTTTCTTGCCTACTTTTGAATTTATTATTTTTTCAATTTTAGTTTATTTCTACTATGGGCTTATTACACCTTTCTATAAAACTTTCAGTGGTTTCTGAAGGTTTTTATTTACTTCTTGAGGAAGATTAGCCCTGAGCTAATATCTGTGGCCAATCCTCCTCTTTTTTTGCTGAGGAAGACTGGCCCTGAGCTAACATCCATGCCCATCTTCCTCCACTTTATATGCAGGATGCCTACCACAGCATGGCTTGCCAAGCGGTGCCATGTCCGCACCTGGGATCCTAACTGGCGAACCCCAGGCCACCAAAGTGGAATGTGTGCACTTAACCACTGTGCCACTGGGCAGGCCCCTGAAGGTTTTTAAATATACATATTTAATCAATCAGGATCCACCTTAAAGTAACAGTATATCACTTGATATGTAATAGGAAGACCTTAAAATAGTACATGCTCAATTCCTCCCTCCTATGTGCTATTGTCAGACATTTTACATTTACATTTGCAATAAATATATAATACATTACTACTATTTTGCTGTAGAAAGTTATCTTTTGAAGCAATTAAAATAAAAAAAAATTAATTTTAAATTACCTTACTTTATCCCATTTCCAGCGCTCTTCATTTCTTGATGTAGATCCAAGTTTACTGTTGGTTTCATATTCCTTTTGCCTGAAGAACTTTCTGAATTCTGAATACATTTTGAAGGTAGAGCCAATGAAATTTCCAGACGTATTTTGATTTAGCCTTTGAGAGAAAGCAATGTCAAAGATGACCCCAAGGTTTATAATAGAGATGCTGATAAATCATAATGAAAACTGCAAATAATTGAAAAGAATTCATTTAGGAAGGAAGAGATACTAGTGTAAAAAGTAAAATTCAACTCTAAAAGAATACAACTAGATACACCAAATGTATTTTGTAACCTAGATATCTACCATGGATTTTTCTTCCCCTCAAAGTTCCAAGTTCAATGACCTGTAGAAGTCCCAAGGGGGAGGCCATAGATCCTGTGTGTGACTCCTATATCTACATATGCCTACCTCCTCTCCTCCTTGACAATGTGGATGCAAAACTCAGTCCCTTCACTGGTTTCAATGAAGTCTTCTCCTCCCACATTTATCAGGTTTCCTCACTTTTGTTTTTTACTCCCTCATGTGGTCTTTGTTTCCTCCCCATGAAATCACTTCCGAGCTCTGAATTCTCTCATTTTATGTGGAATATAACGATCTCCTACACTCAGCATTATATACATAAAATCCTTTATGGAGGTTACCAGAATAAAGGAGGCTTCAGGATCCGCCCTTCCTAGCAGTTTAGGTTTATAAATATACCCCACTATTGCAGGTAAAGTTCCCCCAGGATTTGTATGCAGGAGATTTATTGGAAGCTGTCTTAAAAGCAATATCTGTGAAGGAGCAAGGGAGGCAAGACTGGGCAGAAGGAGAAGTTGGAATGAGATACAGTTGAAACAGTAGCCTCAGCCAATGCCACAGGATCTCTCAAGGCTGAGACGATCCTACAAAGATGTCCCACATTAAGGAACATACCTCACAACAATCCATCATTGGATATGGCTGCAGCCAAGAATAGGAGCACAGATTTGGACAAGGCAGCTGCCTTCAGCTGAGGGCAATTCCCAGAGTTGTATGCAACTGTGAGTCATCAGTAGCTAGCACTACTGGCATTTGAGCACACAAAGCCTTGACCAGGAAGGGGAATCTAGGAGGTGTCCAAATACATTCACTACAATCCACCCCTGTACAGTTTCACTTGCTTCATATAGTATATTTCCTTCACGAGGGAACAACTCCTCCAGGATTGTAATTGATCTCCTTTCCTAGGGAAGCTTTAAGAAGAGTTTAGTGGGACGAGCTACAGTGTCAGCCATCTGCCCCCTTCTCCCTCTCCCCATCCACTCTCCTGTTGCCCCTGCAGCTATTCTTTAGACTGTACCTCATATTTATAGTCTCCCTCATCTATTAACCCCATCTCTAGATTCCGCTCACCTTTGACTACCACATCAGCTGGCCTCCATCACTTACCTGGTAGGACGACCCAGGCCCCTATCACTGAGGAGGTCTGAGCCCATAGTTGCTACGCCCTTCGGATGATGTGCCTTCTGAACATGTCCATTTACCATCAAAATTGGTCTGGGGAACACCAAGAGCCCCCTTTCTTCCCCCCTTCCCCAGCAGATCACTTGGGTGCCAAATGTATTTTTCCCTGTTCCTATTATGTAACAGCAGCCCTACCTTCTCCTGAAAATCAGAGACAATTACTCCTGCCAGGATGTGGATCCTTTTTTGGCCTACTGGATCCCTGACAATAAAACCTAAAGTAACCACGTGGCAGTCATAGATAAAGTTTAATGGGGCTCCTGTGGAAGCATCCTCCCTCTGGAAATCACAACCATTAGATCTACGGAACCTAAGGTTGTGGGGATAGGAAGGACAGATTGCCCAAATGGCTCACTGGGAGTGATAAGAAGCAGAGTCCCTTCTCCTTGCAACACTTAGTTTCAAGATGCACATATTCTCCCTACTGGGGAACACAGCATTATATAATGGTTAATGATTTAGGGTGTGCTTTTCATCCTGGAGGATGAAGATATGCACCGTATCCTCCCATAATATAATTTCCAAGTTGACACCTTAGATGCACCTTCAAAAAGCCATTCCATCCCTCTGTCAGGCTGGCAGAAGCAGGGTGGTAGGATACATGATAGGACCAGTGAATCTCATGGTCAGGTACCTATTGTCACACCTCATTTGCTGTAAAGTGCATTGCTTGGTCCAATGCAATTTATGTAGGATCACATGTTGGTAGATCAAACATTTTATTTGCCCTTGGATAATGGTGCTGCCTAGGAGCCCAATGGGCAGGAAAGTTAATCACATAGAGAACTAGACTCAAAATAATTCCTGCCTTCCAAGGTGGAATGGACACAATATAATCAACTTTGGCTAGTCGATCGCCTCAAAGGATGGTGCCATTTACAGGGTCAGCATTAGTCTTGCTGCTGGCAGGTTAGATGATTGGCAGCAGCAGTACTAGATCTGCCTTAGTGAGTGGTAGTCCATGTTGTTGGGCTCATACACAGCCTCCATCCCACGTTCACAGCTTCTCCTGTATAGACCCTTTGTACAACATCAGGGTTGCGGGGGCTTTTGACAAAGACTGGCTATTGTCAACTGGCTAAGTTATTCTCTAAGAGTGTTTAGTGTCCCTTCAATGGTAAATTCTCTCTGGTAGGCATCACTATATGAATCAGAGATTCATACTTCATGGCCCTGTTTACATGCCAATTCACATGCTCCTTCACCAGACTTCTTTGTCTCATTCTTCTAACTTTTCTCCTTCCAAGCCCCTGATGAACAAGCCAAACTATTTGTCACTGCTAATGAGTCCACATATAATCTGATCTCAACCTACTCCTTTTTAGACACAAAATAGATGATTATGCACACCACCCAAACCTCTTCCAATGGGGAAGACTGCCGTCTCTCAAAACCATCCCTGAGTGAGGCTATTGTGTGAAAGTCCAAAGTATGCATCAGTCGTCTACTGTTGTATAACAAACCAGCCCCAAAACAACTGGTTTAAACCAGTTTATTATTTCTTAAACAGAGATGACAAACATGGCCAAGGATGGAGACAAATGAAGTGGAATGCAAGTGAAAGTCATAAAATGAGGATGTATTACATAAAATAGTAATTGTGATATCACCATCAACAAACAATGGCAGGATGTGAGATAAAGAGAATGAAGTTTTAAATAAACGTAGGAGATAAACTAGAAAAAAATCTTTATTCTTTCTACTGAACAAAACCAGAATTCTTTACCTTCGTCTTCAGGCATCTCTCCACTTTGGATTCCATTTGGCTGTTAAATATTCTTCTCTGGCTACACATTGAAAGACCCTACTTTGAGAAACTCGTCTTCCGTTTACTGCCTTCATGTCATTACTTCAACCTGGAATTTTCCTCCCACCCCATCATACTTCAACCCTCCATGAAATACTTAATTACTTTTTATGATCCAACTCAAATTTTTTCTGGAAGTGAGGACTTAAATAAACAAACAAATTGAGCCTCCATGAAGAAACTCCTGTCAAAAATAGATCTTCCTAAAATCCCTAATAGTAGGGCCCACATCTTACTAATCTTTAAACTGCTGCACAAAGCGTATAGTAGTCACTTCAGGTTTGATGAATGAAAGCCTTCGCACTTTCTACTTAGGCAACACAGTCTTGTAGTATATTTTGGAGTCATTTATCATTTCTATAAGTTAAAAATTTCCTGGAAGGCAGAGACCAAGCCATAATTTTGATTTTCATAGCATCTAGCAAAGTGTCTTAACATCAAGTTAGTACCAAAATATTTAAATTAATTTGTTGAAGGAATTACTGCTAATTCAAGACACAGGAGAAGGGAGGCAGACCTGTAATTACAAGAACAGCCTTGCAGCCTTGCAGTACCCCATGAGGATCCCTGAAGGTGGAGTGGCCCTTTAGATGTGTCCTGAATCAAGGCAAGGGGGACAAAGCTTCATATCCTACATTGCCCAGGCATTGGATGTGTGCTGCGTCCCAGGAAGCCGGCATAACCTTGGGTGAGGCAGCTTCCTTCAGCCAAGGACAATGCCTGAAGAAGGACACAGCTGTGAGCCATCAGCATCCAAAAGTCCAGTCAACAAGGAGAGTGACTACCTTGATTCTAAAATGGGACCTGGGTGGTGCACGAAAGTATCAACTACAGCATCCCTGAAGGGGAAAAACGCAGCCTCTTGCTCACCTTCCATAAAAATCCTCTTCTTGAGGTATGGCTGAAAAGACAAGACTGAATTTACTTTTAGCACCCAAGCCTCAAACTCCTTCTCTGAGCCCAAACAACCCTTCTTTCTCTTTGAGGATTTGAATTGGCACCTGAAGTATTTATTTCTGGCTCTGCCCTGTCACTTGGATACTGGGAAAGTTTCTCACACTCACCTACACAGTGCTAGTCAGCCACGCCAATAACGCCACTGCCCCAGCCTAATCAGGCAGGGTCTCCCTGCATCAGCAGACATCTCTGTGGCATGTGGCTTTTGAGGGCTATACAGCTGTCCCTAGCTTGAAGATCACAACATTATAGAATATGGGCCTGAAAAAAATAAAATTCTCACCAGCGTCTTCTATCATCTTATCCAATCTCAGAATCAAAGCTTACTCCTGGGTTAATGACTCCTACATACAGGGAAGGAGCGTCAGCTTCTGTTCTTTTCAGCTCCTACATGTATCATCTCTGCCTCCTAACAGAAGGAGCCAGAATATTGGGCAATTTTGCTTACAGGGATGACTGGTCTCCTTGGTTCCTCCTTGTTTTCTGATCTTAATTTCTAGATAGCTAAGAAAAGTCTCCCATAGCAAGTGTTGTTTGCTAAAAATTATCGATCTTTTCTATAACCAAATTTTAAAAGGGAGGGAGATGCTTTCCTCTCACCTGGAACCCCTATGCACTGAACATGCACCAGATAAATGAATAGCTCCTAAGTTAAAGGTGGTTTGTATTTGAATGGTCCCAGCTGTTCTCTCTGAGATTAGACCTCACACACTAAAATTAATTAACGGACACAGTCTCTCACTAGGGCTCCAAATCTTTCTGGGTTTCAGACGAGAGCTGGATGTTGGAAATCACTCCCTGGGACCTTACTTGCAAGGAAGTTGATTTACTAGGAAGGCTATTAAACCAGCATCATCAACTGCAACTCTCCGAGTCTCAACTAAGGCCTCCAGTTCAACTCTGCCATTTGGTTGGGTTCCCTAGAGAGATCATAGTCACCCCTCTTTCTTCCCTTGTTGAATAAAGCTGTGCTAACGAGGAGAATTTAGATCTCGCATGAATTCTAAAGCTTTTCTAATAATGCCTTACTGTATGTTGCTCTTGTAATAACATGCTTTAACTGAATCCGATTTTCCAAACTGTTCAATAGCACCTTGTCATATGGCTCATTGCAAAAGACTCTCTAGTATTAACACATTTTCAGAGAACTCTTCTCCATCCTGTTGGTGCATGGTGGGGAAGTGGCTGTGCGAGTCCCAGCAACTCACCACATTATGGAGTACACTTTCAATGCTGTCAAGTATTTCGTCACACAGGTGAAGCTTTGGCAGGACTGAGATCATGTGTACCTCCTAAAGCCAAGCTCATAAACGTTCTTTTAATCTCCTTCGCATCTCTGCCTCTGAAGCCTGCCTCTACCGCAACACAGTATGCTCTCTTCAAACTCAAACTCCTTTTGTCTGTTTGCTGAAATTGGACTGTTTGAAAATATACCTAGCATATGATTAACAGGTTAGCAGCCTCTACTGGGGGTTCCAACGCATCTGAGAAACTCTATCTCAACAGATGGAATTGTAGAAGCCTTTGATCAGGCAAAAATGCAATGGTCATGTACGCACTTCCCATTCCAAAGGGAATGGCATATTTTAGAGTCTATCAAGGGAAACCTCTTACAAAAATACCTTCACCTGCAATTTGGGATGGTTTTGGCTTACATAATGATATGATACCTTGATTTTTGCTTAAAATATTCAATCTCAAACAGTGTGTCTCTATGCAAAAACTGGAAAGTTGACCTCAGAGTCAACATCTACCCTTGGGTTCCCTATGATGCTGTTGTGGACCTATTTTTTTTAAGATTCTTGGAAGGGCTATTGTTCAATTGAAAATAGAGGGCCTGTGAGGCACATCCTGAAAATCTGTAGAAGGCTTTTTGAAAGGATCTATGAGAAATCACCTTAAATCTTTCAATATCTTAAGAAGGGGTTTTACAGTCACACATTTTGCTTCATATTTACTCTGAGACTATGTTTCCTGACAGAGCCCTGGCTTTGAGCTTTGCCCTGAGGCTCTTCTTACTTTTGAGAGTCATCTTCTGGGAGAAACTAGGGATGAGAAATAATTTTATTTTTGAACCTAGCAAATCAAGGGTCATTTTGATTTGTTCAACATGTTTCTTGAAAACGGAATAATTTCTTCTGTAGCTCATGTCTCTTTATCTTCATTTTATGAGCTGCAGCTAAAAGAAATTAGTTGTCACTTTCAACATTTAGCCTAGAAATATCCTTAGCCAGATCAATTAGTTCACCAGGTTAATTTCTAACTTCTGCAGATGACGGTTTTCCCAAACTTTCCACCACTATATATGCAAGGTCTTCTATCTTTTAGTCCCCAAGAACATTTCAGTCACTCTCCTTCAAGCCTTCACTGACAGCCACTTTGAGGCTCACTGGTCCTGGTAACCCCCTACTCCCAGGTAACAAAATCTGTTACTCTTGCTACATAGCAAATCCACCCAAACCTACTGGTATAAAACAACCTTCATTTTGTTTTGCTCACAGATTTTACCTGACAGTAACTTTGAGAAGGGCTCAACTGGGCAGATCCTACCTGGAGTCTCTCACGTCATTGTCATCATATGTTGGCCAGGACCACAGTCATCTGAAGGCTTACTTGGCCTGGATGTCCAAGAAGGCTCACTCTCATGGCTGGCAGTTGAAGGAGCTGTCAACTGGGAGCTCAGCTTGACTGTCAACCAGAGCATATGCAGGTGACCCCTACATAAGGTTTAGTTAGCTTCCTCACAACTTGGCAGCTTCAGAGAGTTGGACTTCTTATGTGGCAACTCAGAACCCCAAATATGAGTGTTCTCATGAGCAAGGTGAAAGCTGCATCACTTTTATGACCTGGTCTCAAAAATCACATAGCATCATTTCTCTTGTATTCTATTAGTCAAAGTAGTTACAAACTCACCCACTCTCAATGTGAGGAGCATCTAAGAATTTTGTAGCCATTTTTTACAACCCACCACAAGGGGCCTTGCTTTCTCTTATATCACCAGACCTTATGATAATGTCAGACACAAAGGGGATGCTCCATAAACATTTGTTGACATAATGAATTTTGGTAGAAATACAAAAGAAATTCCATAGGTGATGCTAAAACTAGTGAGTCACCATGTGAGGTCTCTACCCCCAAGATCTTCAAGAAGAGAAGAGACACCACTATTGGCTGCCTTGGGTGATGCAAGCACTCATTTGTCTAAAAGCAAAGGGCTAACCCTTGTGTTCTTCTCTTGGCCCTTTTCATTTTGTGATTATTCTAGGCACAAGGGAGATTCCTATACTACTAGAGCTTTTATTTGCATTTTTGAATAACAGTCAGATTCCCATACCCCAAGAATATGTGAAGTTAAGACAACCTTGTAGCAGCCTCAAGTAGCATATGGCAAGGAATCTGGAAGAACTATGGATGCTCTCTAAGTGCTGTATTCTAGGGAGCCTCACAGATATCCAGCTGAATGTCCTTCTCTGTTCCATGTTACTTAGGGTATATAGTAGAGTGTTTTCATTTTCTTGTGCCACAGGATACACAGAAATTCCACATGTGAATGAGAGGAGCAATAGGAGTATTATACACTAAAACCAAATACCTAGACTTGGAGCCAGGATGAGTTTCAGTAATGCACTTTTTTACACACCGTAGAAAGTTATAAATAAGACACAAGCCTTAAAAACCTTTGTTAGTGTCCCTTAACACTCCCACCTAACAAGTTACCAAAATTATAAGTGGAAATATCCTGTGAGAAATGTCATGCATCTTGTTTGAATCCTCTGAAACAAAACAATTTCTGTGATGCATGTATAGTGATGCCAAGAAGTCCATCTGCCAGCCAGAACTTCATCTTTAAATATCTTGTTATGACAGCACAAAAGAACACAATGAGTTTTGTTTAGAGTGTCAGTCTTCCATCTCTGGGCTAAAAGGATTAGGTCTAAATTGCACATCATTATATAAGATCACAAGAAAATGTTTGCTTCTTTTGTCCTTAAAAGTATTTCATAGTGTTTTATAAAAAGCCAAAAAAATATTAAAGAAATCCATTTTGAGCTTTATAAGCAGTAGATACGCCAGACATTCTATTTTATGTTGGTAGTTATTTAATACACAAAAGTCAGGGACTTTTCAAGTACAATCATTTGTTGGACATGGCAGAGGGTGTGGAGAGGCCATAGAGTTTGATGGTTCAAAGCGGATTGTGGTGTCAGTCAGATCTGGTTTTAGCCTCTCTGATTAATGTGTGACTAGGAAATGTACTTAACATCTCTGTGGCTCATTTTCCTCATTTGTAACATGGAAATAAAAGTATTCACCTTCTAGGGTTGGTTTAAGGATTAAATGAGATAACATATGTAATTTACTTACCAGTGCTTGGCACAGAGTAGATGCACAGTTACCAGTCAGATAAGAGTGAGCATACACTTTGTGTGAGCACACACACACATAATGGGGAGGGGGAGGAAGAAGGAAGGAAAGGGAGAGAGAGAAATTGAGGGATAGAGATTGAGGGAGATAGAAAGAGAGCTTTTGGGAAGGGTATATAGAAAATATTGTTAGAGATGGTATGGATGTGATCGTTGTTAATGTTAACTTATTTGATGAAAGGATTTTGAATTTTGAATTTTGAAGATGTTGGAACAGAACAGGAATGGAATGTCAGGAGGCATATGGAGATTTATGTTACTTTGAGAGAGTCACTTGTCTCCTATACACAGGACAAAGCAGAAAGAAACATTTCCCACCTCCTTCTCAGCATTCTGTTCCCATTTCAATCATACTTTTGCACACACCCCACCCCCGGCACTTGTATGCACCCCATGTCAAAAGTCTGTCCTTTGAACAAGATTCTGCTGTCCACTGAGACAGTTGGAAAGTCACCAGGCCATTACAGTGTCACTGCAAATAACTTAGAGGTATTTTCACGTTAAGGGAGGAAATTCCAGCATGATATACAAATAAAAGTGGACTTTCCTAAGAAGAAAAAGTTGGGAAAAGAGTGAAGGAGAGATTTTGAGGTAGGCAAGGCCTTTCCTCCCTTTTCAAACGAAGTGGTGAGGTTATTCTTTTTTTTTTTTTTTTAAAGATTTTATTCTTCCTTTTTCTCCCCAAAGCCCCCTGGTACATAGTTGTATATTTTTAGTTGTGGGTCCTTCTAGCTATGGCATGTGGGACGCTGCCTCAGTGTGGCTTGGTGAGTGGTGACATGTCCACACCCAGGATCCGAACTGGCAAAACCCTGGCCCGCAGGAGCAGAGTGCGTGAACTAAACCACTCGGCCACAGGGCCAGCCCCTGGTTGTTCCTGTTTTTAATCTTTATATGTTAGACCATTTGGAAGAAACATATTCTGTAATATAATACAGTAATATTGCTATTATTAATTAGAAAAATAATTTCCATTGCTTAAGGTTTATTTCTATAATGGTTTTGTTCAAAAAATAACATTCAGGTTTAGCAATGTATATAAAGAAATAGGGTATCAATGGCCAATTTCTAGGGTTTTTAATACTTTTTCAAAAAAGTAGATTTTTCTTTTACCTTACCACAGTTCTGTTCAAAACAATTCTGTTAACACCCTTCAAATAACCTTTTAAAATATTACTTATGAATCTGTGCACCTCGATAAAATGTTTCCTGTTTTTCATTTCCCCAAGGCTAAAGTGACACAATTATTAGCTTTTGATAGGGTTAAACAATAACTACCCGTACTTACCTTTGTGAAAGAATGGAAAACAAATATACCTTGAAGCATTGTATCAGTTGAAAAGATACTCCTACTTCAGCTCTTTCTTCTTTTTCTTTTTCCTAAAAGAGCACAGAGGAATTTTTTTTAAATCAAATATTTTACATAAACTTTTTCTCTACTTCTAGGGCTGAATACAGTTTGTTCTGTCTCTAAATGTTAACAATATAATACTTTCTAATGGGGAACCCCTTTAATCCTGTGCAGTAGCAGGTACAATGTGCCAGGTAACATTTTAGAGGCTGGGGATATACCAGTAAACAAAACAAGTAAAAATCCCTGCTGCTGAGTTTACAGTCTAGTCGGGGGAGACAGAAAAAGAACGATATGAATAAGTAGATTGTGGTAATAAATGATAAAGAGGAAATTAAGACAGGAAGGGAATAGGGAGTGTCAGTGCAGTTGGGCAGGGGTTGTGGTTTTTAGATAGGGTTGTCAGAGAAGGGCTCTTGAGAAGATGACGTTTAAGGAAAGATGTGAAGGAAGTAGAGGAGGATGCTGTGTTTTAAGCAGCATTTAGCAGGGCAGGTGGAGTCAGCTAAGGGGAGAGTGGTAAGAAATGAGAGGTAAGAGGGGGCCAGTCTGGTAGTCTATTTTAAGAACTTTGGCTTTTATGCCATTACATTAAATGGCATTACAAGTATAAAATAGGAAGCCATTACAGGTATGTCTGTATCTTCTTTTTCTCTCTCAAAATTCATTCTCCACCCTTCTCCATCCTGTTCTCTGGCCTAGGGAAGCTAAGCAGTATTTTCCTACTTTTCCTTATGACCCATTCCATGTCTTCCTTTTGGCCACCTTCCACCTCTTTCAATTATCCAAGTGTTCCGTCCGTCAGAGAAGCAGAGACCCAGCCACCTGTGTTTCTTTGGATTAGTAGTTCTCAACAGTGGCCCTAAACCCACCTGTGTCATGCTAGGAACCCAATAAAATGCAGACTCCTTGGCCGCACTCAAGACACTCAATCAGCATCTCTGGGATTGGGGTCCAAGAAGCTGCATGTTTAACAAGTTTCCCAGGTCAGTTCCTTCTCACTGTGAGGCTTGAAAATTAGAATTCTGGATTATAGGAATGGCACCGTTCTGATGGGCATCCAAGCAGTTTCTTATATTCAAGTTTTTTCTTTGCTCCAAAAATAAGAACTCAGAAATATTCGGTTTGGCTCTAATAAATTTTGACTGACTATAATCTGCTAAATTTTTATTTCTATTTTTATTAAATGCTTATATTTTATTTTGTGAAATATTTCATCATCAAATACAATCCATAAGAATCATTTTGCACGGTCCTCATCAATTTGTATCATCTGAGACTTGATGTCTCATTCACATATTTATAAATTGTGGCAGGATTATATATGACTTCTCTATATTTTTGTACAACAGCACTGATTTTATTTTTATTTAAATGCTAATGTTTCCCATGATGAATCATTTTTCAACACCATACTTGAATTAGAAATAAAGTCAACCAAAAGTTACTAATAAATGCCATATATCACGCTCTGTTTTTGTGCTGCTCAAGTTGGTAGCACTGAACGATGAGGACTTTTTCAGAGTTAGGGAACGGAAATGACTCTGTGACTTAGATTCTTATAGAATTTGTGGTGAGGAATTCACATTTCCTGGGAGCTTATGCAGCACTGCTTTCACATTACACCCAATCTTCTGTGAAGAGAAACACCTTATTGATGTTTTCCAGAGTATTTCTGTTACAATCTCCAGAGTTCAGCACTTTTAAACAAATATTGTCCTTTCAAGTTTTTGCAGATTTCATAGGTTAATTTCCCCTGTGCCAGAATGTGCTATTTCAAGATACTGAGGCAAACAAGGCTGTCAGAAATAAAGAACAAGGGAGGCACGGTCATGTACCAAGAGGATAATAGTAAATATCTACCTGAGTAGTTGAATCCAATCGCTCCGAACAAGGTTGTTTCATTTGGCCTCTTACTAATTTTGAATTTTTTCCTAGCAGAGAGAAGGTGTGTATTTTGATTGAGAGAGCTGCATAATGGATTTGGCCAAGACCTGAGCTTAAACCTGTCTTTTAAGCTGGAGAGGATGAGATGTAGTCTTTATGGCCCACTCTGCCTGGACTGTGTTTACAGTGAATATTCAAAAGCATGCATTTCCTCTCAGATATTAGGATTTGCAGCTGCTGGTTAAAAACAATTCCAAAGGGTTGCCAAAAGCTGAAGCAAATGGTCCATACATTTTAGGAATATAAGAAGAAAGGCTTGTGAATCATTTAATAATGGCATTGCATATAATAAAATGTCATAAGAAAAGATTCTTGCAGAATTTCTGCTTCTCTATGCTTTTGGCTAAATTGTTCAAGCCAATGTATTTAACATGAGTGCATTTTTCAGAAAGATAAAGACACTTTTCAGTTTTTAAAATAATTGTGCATTTTCTTTTTATTAGTAAAAGGGCATACAAAAGTTCTAAATATTAGACATACTCAATGTAAATGAGGATTAATCTATAAAAAAGGGAAAAATAATTTTATGTTTTTATGCTTCAAGAGCCTTTTCTATATTACTTTAAACTTTTATGTAAGGATTATATAGGATTTTGGAAATCCTAAATCTGAAAAGGACCTTGAGTTTAGGAATACTAGTAACAATAATGTGAATGATATAGCTAACCTTTGAGCATTTTCCATCTGCTGGGTACTGCTTTAAGAAGCTTTACATATGTAATCTTAGTCAATCCTCACAACAAGCCTACAAGGTAAATATTATTATATTCATTTGACAGATAAGGGAACTGAGACACAAAATGTTTAACAAATCTGCCTGAAGGCATAGAGCTAGCAAGTGGCAGAGTCAGTACTAAAGCCGAAGGAACACTTATAAAATGATCCCAGCCAGTTCAATCCATGGAAAGTGTACACAGCTGTCGACAGTGTGATTTGAAGGTGCCAGAAGGTCTACCCAAATGCATCACCTTCAACAGTTTACAACACCGCCTCAAATTCCCACCAAGAGAGAAAGTGCTTTGTATGAAGATAATACCTCCAAAAAGCTATATTTTAAAAATATTACCTAAGAAGAACTGCTTGCTAATGATAGCAATACAAGGTAGACACATTTTAGGGAGATTTGGATGAGAAAATGAGAAAAAAGAAAACAAACGACCTCTTGAAGGTAAACACCATAATATAGACTCTTGGACAATCCTGGCAAAGTAGAGGGGTGATGAAGACAAAATTCATCCAACTTGGCTTTGGTTGGATACAGAAATTATCCATCTTAAGCTGTCTTCTCTTTTAGGAGATAGAGCCATAGCATTGAAAATGGTCAAGTTTAACAGCAAAAATTATCTATGTACAATGTTTTCCTCACCACTTGCCTTTTTGAACAGAGGTTCTTAAATAGGGGTCCCACATATGGACCCCCATTGATATATGAAATCTCCAGTATGTATGTGAGAACGCACAGCACCCCAAGAAGATTATCCAAAGATTTCATCAAATCTCATACGTATAAATGAGCCCCCTCAAAACAGTTAAGTTAGCATAAAATCAACCTAGCCCAGCTGCGCTTATATATCACCTAAAATTAGTGCCCGCTGGAGGTGGTCTTTAACAGCTAAGAGAACACACAACTGCTTTGAATTATGCATCCTAATGAGCATAGAGGGCTACATTCAAGCAGATATTTATGAAAGCAAAACATGGTACGCAAAATGACCAAGACTAGGATAACGTTACATATCACTGTGTTTCTGCAACAACAGATGCAACTATTCAGGATTGGAGTTTTAAGTAAACAATACGCCACAAGGAAGTGTGACAGGTATGTCAATAAATGTTCTCAGGAAAAGGTTAGGCAATCGTAATGGGCAAGTAATTAAAAATGCTTTTTAAAATGAACAAACTGATCTCACTTTCTTGGTGAGCTATTACCAGGTTCTTTTGAGTTCTTAAAACATTTTCTTTACTCTGTGTTTAACAACAAACGTGGGCCAATTGCTGTGAGTTAATTGAAAAGGATTGTTTGCTAGTTGCCAAGAAACGGCGCTTTCTTACATTATGCAGGCCATTATGTGCACAGATCAAGCTTCCTGATTTTTCTTTCAGGGTTTAAGAATATAGGCTGCTGTGATTTAGCTGTCCCTTGAGGAGAGGAGCACACATCAAGAAGGCTTTCAGGAGTGTTGTTCCATTTTAATTTACCAGGTAAGATTTGGATTTGAAAGTGTTACCTTCTTCCTAATGCTTAACTTTTCCTAAATCACTTAAAAGCCTTTATGTTGAGTGAATGAGTGGATCTAAAACGATGATTTTACTTGAGATAGTTTCATGTAAATCACGCTAAATTGATTTTCTTCCAGCGGAAGGTTCTAAGGAAAAGAAAAGAGGTAAAGATAATAACAGACATCTGTGAGACTGGCTCTGGCATTTGTTTCTTCTTGATTTCAGAGTAGCAAATACATGTAAACCAAGAAGTTGTGAGTGTGGTTAGCTTTGAAAATATTAAAATTATTGCTATGGAAGCAAATATCATTACTTCTATTTGTTGAAAAGATAAAATCTTGACTCTTTCCAACTGAGAAATGGGCTTTCTAATTAACTTCAAAAGGAAGACTTGCTGATCTTACGTACAGCTTGGTTTCTTGTCTCTCTTAAAAAAAACCAAAACCCCTATATATTTTCATTATCTCTTTGCTGTTAGCTATTTTCTTCATGATTTTGTCTTAAAGAGGAAGATAAAATCAGGGTCCTTATACTCAATGGAGTTTACTAATAGGTGTGATACGAATAAAAAAGTCGCTGTTCTTCCTCAGGAAGGAAAACAGAATTTCTTGACTCAAAGTTAGTTGCTCCCAGGCTCACCAATGCAGTGCTCACTGTGGGTAATATGGGGCAAGTGCTTGAAAAGGATTCTGTGAGTTGAGTTTGTTGGGTCAAATCATCCTCCCACTCTTAAGGAGTTAGTACTTTCACATGTTTAGGTTGAACACTGCAATCCCTTGAACTTACATTTACAACTTACACAATTTACACAGACTATACGTTGAAAACAAGTGTCAAATTTGCAGAGGAACCTAGTTGAGTG